GGGGTGCCCCAAGAACTTCACTCTGATCAGGGCACAAACTTTGAGTCAGAAGTGTTCAGGGAAATGTGCCAAATTTTCGGCATTTCGAAAACCCGGACAACCGCCTATAATCCGAAATCGGACGGCATGGTTGAGAGGTTTAACAAAACCTTGGTCAACATCGTGGCGATGCTCCTTGACCCTAGGCGTAGGCAGAAGGACTGGGATGAGTTCCTCCCCTTTGCGACCTTCGCTTATAGGTGCACGCCGCAAGACTCGATTGGGGAATTGCCCAACATGATGATGTTGGGGCGAGAGGTGAGTGTCCCAGTGGATCTGGTGACAGGGTGTCCTGAAGTTGAGGTGGAAGCAACTGCAGACTTCGCTGAAACATTGCGAAGTAATATGCAGGAGGCCCACAATAGGGCGAGGAATTGTCTCGGGAAAAGTGCCCGGAGACAAAAGAAGAATTTTGACAGGAGAGCGTCTCAGCATGGGTTGAGAGAGGGCCAATTTGTGTGGCTACACAACCCTGCAAAGAAAAAGCACATGTCCCCCAAGCTACAACTTAGGTGGGAAGGACCATGGCTTGTTGTCAAGAAGTTGTCAGATGTGACGGTTCGTATCCAGCTTAAGCGTAATGGCAAGCCAAAGGTAGTCCATGTAGACCGACTAAAACCGTATGTCGGTGAGGCAATCGAACCGTGGGATTGTCAGTCCAGGGATGAGGTGACAGAAAGCCTCCCCATGGATGCAATCCCCGAGGTTCAAGATGACAGAGAGTCGTCTGAGGAGTTGGCCGAAGTGGCCGAAAATGAGGTTCCTGCGATGGAAGATTCCATTACAGAGGAACTGAGTCCAGGTAGTCCAGCCAGTCAGTCAGAACGGCCGGATGAGTCACCACCAAGACGGTACCCAAGACGGGCCCACAAATTGCCCCTGCGGTATCGTTAGTGTTGAGATTTGTTGTTGAGGTAGTTTGAGAGGTTTCAACAGGTTTCCATAATTTTGTATATGGTGTTCTCTTCTCCAGGATCAAGTGAAGATGCCTCAAGACAAAGATAGCAGAAAGACCAAATGCAGGCGGTACAACTGCCGCCAGTGCCCAGTATGGTTCATCAATCGGCAGAGCCTATGGAGGCACATCGAGGATGTGCACAAATCAGCTAACATCCTTCACTGCAGCAAGTGTACATACCAGGCAGGAGTGGTGAGCACGCTGCAACGGCACATAACAATGTGTCACCCAGAGCTTTCGACCGGCGGTCCAGCAGTCTCCACACCGGCGATGAAAAAGGTCGTCGCGGTCCCGCACACGGTCGCATCTACAGAGGTGACCAAGAGCCGAACCGCTCCCCGAGTAATGCCGGGGAGGTCAACCCCTCCGCCAGCTAGGAAACCCCCCTCAGTTGGTAAGGATGGAGGAGAGGCAGTCTTATCACTGTCCCCAACTCCCCTTTCCCCCTTGATGAAGCCGGCCACTTCCCCGAAGTCCTCGGTTTCCCCCTACATTCGTAGTAGTGGGAAACCAAGAGGGATGCTGCAGATGATGCAGGATGAGGCAGCTAAGGAGGCGTCACCTCACCCGAGCACTGCATCGTCGATGCCGTCGCTCGAAGGCCTGCAAGATGACGTCAGCGAGATGTCAGCAGATGGCGACGAAGTGCCTCCGAAGAAACGGATGAAGATGGCAACCATCAGAGAGTATACCCTGACACAAGTCATCCTCGAAGGAGCTGTAGTGAAGAAAGAGGAGCGCTGCATCTCCTATGTAAGACCCATTGAAGTAGACGAACAAGGACGGCCTGTAGGAAAGTAGTGTTCCGTTCTGTTCTGAACCAGTTTAGTTTGATAGTTCTAAGTTTGACAGTTTGACGTTTTGCTAAAAGTTACGTGTTATTGTCGGTTAAATGATAATAAAAAAAATAAAAAAAAAAATAAAAAAATCAGTCATTTTAATCGAAAACACATTTTTCACAAATTCGGCGGATGTAAATTATGTAAAATTGGATGTGGAAAGAAATCATTAATCTGTTTAAATCAGGACTTTTATTTAAAATTTCTAAGATCTGGTAAAATACTTAATAATTTTATGTACAAAGTGATTCACCATAAACATTTAGAAGTAATTTTCTTTATGTACATGTATATCCAATGGGAGGAGCAAAATCTGAACTTTTGACTGATCTTGTAATATAATTCTAGGTGCTAATGGTGCATTAGAAAAGTCCTGGTATATATTTAATTGAAAAATTCGTTGTTCAGACTCTGTAAAAATAACCCAGTTAAATCATGTAAAATTCAATTTGCGAAAATCTTGCCATCAAAATTAGTGTACATTTCATCAGTCTAAAATTATCCGTAAATTTCAGCTTTAAATCTGTGTAAAATAAGTGCAAATTTCCCCTAATTTCTTGTGAATATTTAATAAACTAAAATTTGAGCCAGACGAGTATAAATTTCCTTAAATTTCTTGTAAATATTTAATGAGCAAAATTTTGATTCAGATGCTGTACGATAAATCCCTGTGAAATCATGTGAATATTTAATTAGCAAATTTTGGTGAAGTTGTACATGTACATGGATTTTCGACACGTTGTACTATGCACTTAGAATCTTGTGCATATTTAATGAGCTGAATTTTTGTGTTCTTGCACATGTGAAACACTTGTACATGTTAGTTACATGTAGGTAGGGTACATGTTATATTTTGCACATGTTAAGCACATGTACACATGTAAAGTACATGTGAGGAAGGTACATGTTATATTTTGTGAATATTTAATGAACTTTAATATCAGCTTCCTCTCTTATGTTTTCTTTTGAATTTCAAAGATGAAGTTAAACTTTATGTTTTCTATTGTAATTCAAAGAAAAAGTTAAGTCTCATGTTTTCTTTTGAATTTTATGGATGAAGTTAAGCTTTAAGTTTTGTATTGAATTAGTTGGACGCAGTTAAGATGTAGTCACACTTTCCTTTTATTTTTGTATTATGGCTTTAGAGTATGGGGACATCCTCTGCCATGCTCGGGCCCTTGTGGCGGAAAGTGTTTAGTTGTGACGTCATACCATAGCACTAACGCTTAATCACTTGTGTGCAGTGACCGGGCGGAGCTTACGAGCTCCGTGGGCTGCTGCGCGTACGTGATTGGCCAATAACTCCCATAAGTTTAGCGCACCATAGGGTTAGTACACGCACATGGTTTGTAGACATGACGTAGCGTCTACATGTGCCTGGTATATAAATGCGTGCCTGGGGAGCGCGCTCTGTTTTTGGAAGCGTTTTAGCGGTATAGTTGTTGAGACTGATTGATACAGTTGTGACAATCGTTGTTAGGTGAGATACTTGTGTGTCTAGGTTCGGGGCTCAGCTGTTTTCGGTGTTGAGTGCCGGGTGTCTGGAGATAGCGGGCTAGGGCGTAGCTGCGACAGCGGGCAGAGAAGTAGGTAAATTACTTGTACTCTGCGTGTATAATTGCTTAGGCGATTTGTGTACAAAGTCTGTGTAGCTGTACTGGGGTTGCGCTGGTATGTGTAGCTGAATTCTGGCTTACACACACGGCGTAGCGAGTACCCTGCTAACGGACTGTATACATTGCTAAGCGGCTGTTGTGTGCTTGTAACGCTGTGTATTGCTGACTCAGTGATTCATTCGTAGCGCTGTGCATAGTTGCTCATTGCTGCCATTGTTGTCTGGTGCTTAATGCTGTGTGCGTTGTTGCATAGGCAAGCAGCGGGCTTTCTCCAGTAACTAAGGACCCTGTTAATAAAACAACCCACCGAATCACATCCTAATTGTTGTACTTGATTATTGTTGAATAAATTACGATCATTGTTGTTTGAGATTACCGACAATTCTGCTTCCAGTGTTTGTGTTTACAGGTTTATTGTGCAGTTAATTAACAGAGATAAATAGTCAACACTCATTCATAATCGGGCGGCAGATTTCCACCAAAACGGACCTGCACCCTTAGCCTTGAAGGTCGCTCTGAGTGATCTCTCGTCTAGGGAAGAGCCTTGGTTTGGGAAGATTGTCTTCACCCCACTAGGAGTCAGACTTATCCTAACAGACTTAGGTTGGCCCGGGGGGTTCCCGCCACAATATTAAAATTTCAAAATTCTTAACACTTTTCCTTAAAATGACCATCTATATTGCTATCTGTGGACCACGTATTGTTGATGTACCCTAACGTGGCGCGGCCCCTAATGTGGCGCACTTTGATTTTGCGCCTCCGGTGCCTTGCTAGAGCAACATTTTTACCTCAAATTTCACAATTAGTGAAATTTCATCAAGCTCTATAAACATTCCTGCTCATAAATCTTGAGTTTACGTACCCGCTACAAAGTTCCAATGAAATTCTATTTGGGCATGATTTTCCTATTTTTTTTTTAAGTGCACAATGAACTCTTTTAAAATGCGCCCAAAAATAAGAAAATAATTTCTCCACAAACTTGTAGCTGGGTATGTAAGTGTAGGTTATAATGATTTATCAGAATTTATCAATTTTAAAGAAATTCTTAAATGTTAATGTGGGATTTTCTGAGATTTGTTCAAGTGCGCCACGTTAGGGAACACTCAGCTGAATTTGTGCCCAATTTCCGGACGCCACCGTTTTGAATTTCGGACTTAATTTCATGACACTGAAATTGTTCACAAATTTTAAACAGCATGTATTATTAAGGTACTAGTACCAGTATTTGACTGAAGCAATTTCAAGTTTTACAATGAAGAGGTTTGGCAACACTGCATGAGGAAAGTCGAGTGAAACGTCGAAGTGCGCCACGTTAGGGAACACGACTATCTGACTATACAAGTAGGCCTATGTTGCACAAAATAGTTCTAATGTAATGGACAAGGCAGGATACGGGTCCTAGCTCTATGTCATTATGTACACATGTGTACAAAAAGTTGGAAAATTACAATGAACTTCTCGGGAAGAATGTTATCCTGTTGATGTTTTCCCCATTATTGGCCAACGTATAGCAATCCCAAGGCTTAATTAATAATAACAAGTTAGTACCTTAACTATGGCTCCTGGCTTGTGACGCGAGCTAGCTTCGCAGCCGGCCGGGCCGAACAGCTGTATGTACTGTGCGTATTTTTCATTACCAACTCGATTACCCATAGTGCTTTGTAAAGTGACAATTTTTGCTATCTGTTATAAGGTCCCAAAAAAACTGGGAAACCTAAACGGCAGGACAATTTTTAAATGGAGTTCTGCATGTAGCACTATCAAAATCTAGGATGTGAAAGCCCAATTAATAAGCTTTCTTTTAGTACGAGAATCATTCAAATCACTCATGTACTTTTCAAGTTACGGAATTTTAAACACAACCACCGTTTTAAACGTCTGTCCACGGATCACAAAAAAGGTAAGTGTTTTTTCCAGCAGCAAAACGAAAACAATTCACACAATTGTTTTCGTTTTGCTGAAAGAACACATAAATGTATTGGTGATCCGTGGACAGAACTTTAAAACGGTGGTTGTGTTTAAAATTGTGTAACTTGAAAAGTACATGAATGATTTGAATAATTCGTGTACTAAAAGAAAGTTTATGAATTGGGCTTTCATATCCCAGATTTTGATAGTGATACATGCATAACCGTATTAAGAAAATTGTTCTGCCGTTTGGGTTTCACATTTTTTTTACTCAACCTGTAGAGGGTGTTGATGAAGGTGGGGGTGAGGATGACGTACGATGTAGTGAAATGGGTGAGAATTGTGGCACAGATTGAGGATAATGGTGGTTGTTATGGTGCATTGATTAATTAATTAATTAATTGATTAATTAATTATTTAATTAATTAATTAATGGTATAGTCAGGGTTGTGAGGATCGGGTCATGATCTTAATGGAGCTGGTGGTGAAAGAGGTGATCATAGTGGTGATTTGGCCTCACAGTGTTAATGTCCATCATCATGCAAGACATGCATGATGGCAAAAAGGCTGTCAATCCATTAAGTCACAGGAATTTGTTTTATCATCATGAGGCCTTTTAGTCATGTTCCTCTCTCCCGAAATAGTCCGCCCCCCCAAAAAACATGGTTTAACGTGCAGTTAAATAACACTTGCTCTTTGCACCTATCATGGTCAGGTTCTATCATGTTCAGGTTCATGAACTATACTATCGCGCATGAATACGCCCACTGTGAACACTGAACACTTTAATGGTGGTCCCGTGTATAATATTCGGAGTCTTCGCGCCAAAAACCTTATCACGGTGAAATTTGGCGGGTTCTGTACAAAAGAGCGTTACAAAGACTGGGACACAGTACCGGTACGTGTTATAGATCGAACTGTGAAATCCATGGAAATATTTACATATATATGGTACGTACACGATATATTAAACATCATGCTATTGGTTTTCTGTCCGATATAGATCCTGTGTAATTATTGACTAAGTTCATAGGCAAGTTTACATGCTTTGTCAATGAATTTCATTAAATTATCGATCTCATATCGATGACTCTGATTTTCCTTTGTGTGAATTTGGTCCACAACAATAAGTGTCTCACTAGCTAGCTGTGATTCACTTGTGACAAATGTGTACACTCATGTTACCATGGTACATTTATTTTAGGAGTTGTTCAATTCAAGTTTCAAAGCATATACATGTGAATGCATGGAACGGGGGAAAAGGGAAAAATCGAGAACGCCGGGAAGCCACGTGTGATTAATCGAGTAGCCCTCAGAAAAATGAGTCACGCTTTGTTTACATCTGGGTTTTCGAAGGGTCGTTCGCCATGCTGTTCAACATTTTCTGAGTTTTTTCTCTTAATAACTTTTCAACCCCCTCCCCACAAAAAAAATCTGATTTTGGTTGGTTCGTCTACAAACCCTCGTAATAACTGTGATTAACCTTGTCTCATTTCATTTTACTGTTTATTAATCTTCTTAATTATAATATATATTTGTAATGTTTTAATTGCTTGTTCTATTTTTATACTATTGTATGCTTGTTGTAAATGCTGGGCACCTTTGAAAAACAGTGTTCCACTGAAAAGGTCTCCCCAGGATAAACAAGAAATAAATAAATATATAAATAAATAAAGGTTTTTACTTTTTAGAACAAAGAGATCCGCCATGAGATCGAGAGCAGACTGGTTCCTAGACCGTGCATTATGATATTGACAGTACGTTAAGCTGGGAACCAGATTAACTCACAAGAAGCGAATTATTGTTGGGCTGCAAGTAATGTCGAAATTTGTAACATAACAATTCAATGACTAAACGTGGGCATTTTTTTTCCGGTAGATATCTCACTCAAACGTTAATAACGTTTTTATTCCTATAAAATGGGAATTTAGAAAAGGGGTTATTTTTTTGGGGGGGGGGGCGGGACGAAATCAGAAGATAGCACGGGAAAGCAACTTCAATGGGAAGATATTGGGGATGAGTGGGGGTCTTCCCCATCACGTACCATGCCAAGATATGACATTATTTCGTCCCATACGGATTACCGTATCCGCTTAGGAAAAAAAGATGCCGTGACTTCCGTGTTGAGCGTGCGATACGTGCTCTTTTCTGTTACATCACACTCACTATACATGCTGCATGGTGTCTTGGAAAAGGGAACAATTATTGAATAAAAAAATATGCTCGTATTGTGGAGAAATAGATCACATACAGTGGAAATAAGAGGATCACAATGCAAATTAAGTACATTGTAACTGTATGGCTTTTTATTATCCTCGACAACCCCTCGTTTTTGGTACACACTCCAAGAGCTTTGTGTTAAGCATTTAAACACAATCTTTCTATCAGTTGTCTACTTAGAAGCTGACAAATTAAGTGTCCAAAAACAGTGTTCCACTGAAAAGGTCTCCCCAGGATAAACAAGAAATAAATAAATAAATAAAGGTTTTTACTTTTTAGAACAAAGAGATCCGCCATGAGAGCAGACTGGTTCCTAGACCGTGCATTATGATATTGACAGTACGTTAAGCTGGGAACCAGATTAACTCACAAGAAGCGAATTATTGTTGGGCTGCAAGTAATGTCGAAATTTGTAACATAACAATTCAATGACTAAACGTGGGCATTTTTTTTCCGGTAGATATCTCACTCAAACGTTAATAACGTTTTTATTCCTATAAAATGGGAATTTAGAAAAGGGGTTATTTTTTTGGGGGGGGGGGGGGCGGGACGAAATCAGAAGATAGCACGGGAAAGCAACTTCAATGGGAAGATATTGGGGATGAGTGGGGGTCTTCCCCATCACGTACCATGCCAAGATATGACATTATTTCGTCCCATACGGATTACCGTATCCGCTTAGGAAAAAAAGATGCCGTGACTTCCGTGTTGAGCGTGCGATACGTGCTCTTTTCTGTTACATCACACTCACTATACATGCTGCATGGTGTCTTGGAAAAGGGAACAATTATTGAATAAAAAAATATGCTCGTATTGTGGAGAAATAGATCACATACAGTGGAAATAAGAGGATCACAATGCAAATTAAGTACATTGTAACTGTATGGCTTTTTATTATCCTCGACAACCCCTCGTTTTTGGTACACACTCCAAGAGCTTTGTGTTAAGCATTTAAACACAATCTTTCTATCAGTTGTCTACTTAGAAGCTGACAAATTAAGTGTCCAAAAACAGTGTTCCACTGAAAAGGTCTCCCCAGGATAAACAAGAAATAAATAAATAAATAAAGGTTTTTACTTTTTAGAACAAAGAGATCCGCCATGAGAGCAGACTGGTTCCTAGACCGTGCATTATGATATTGACAGTACGTTAAGCTGGGAACCAGATTAACTCACAAGAAGCGAATTATTGTTGGGCTGCAAGTAATGTCGAAATTTGTAACATAACAATTCAATGACTAAACGTGGGCATTTTTTTTCCGGTAGATATCTCACTCAAACGTTAATAACGTTTTTATTCCTATAAAATGGGAATTTAGAAAAGGGGTTATTTTTTTTTGGGGGGGGGGGGGCGGGACGAAATCAGAAGATAGCACGGGAAAGCAACTTCAATGGGAAGATATTGGGGATGAGTGGGGGTCTTCCCCATCACGTACCATGCCAAGATATGACATTATTTCGTCCCATACGGATTACCGTATCCGCTTAGGAAAAAAAGATGCCGTGACTTCCGTGTTGAGCGTGCGATACGTGCTCTTTTCTGTTACATCACACTCACTATACATGCTGCATGGTGTCTTGGAAAAGGGAACAATTATTGAATAAAAAAATATGCTCGTATTGTGGAGAAATAGATCACATACAGTGGAAATAAGAGGATCACAATGCAAATTAAGTACATTGTAACTGTATGGCTTTTTATTATCCTCGACAACCCCTCGTTTTTGGTACACACTCCAAGAGCTTTGTGTTAAGCATTTAAACACAATCTTTCTATCAGTTGTCTACTTAGAAGCTGACAAATTAAGTGTCCAAAAACAGTGTTCCACTGAAAAGGTCTCCCCAGGATAAACAAGAAATAAATAAATAAATAAAGGTTTTTACTTTTTAGAACAAAGAGATCCGCCATGAGAGCAGACTGGTTCCTAGACCGTGCATTATGATATTGACAGTACGTTAAGCTGGGAACCAGATTAACTCACAAGAAGCGAATTATTGTTGGGCTGCAAGTAATGTCGAAATTTGTAACATAACAATTCAATGACTAAACGTGGGCATTTTTTTTTTCGGTCGATGTCTCACTCAAACGTTAATAACGTTTTTATTCCTATAAAATGGGAATTTAGAAAAGGGCTTATTTTTTTGGGGGGGGGGCGGGACGAAATCAGAAGATAGCACGGGAATGCAACTTCAATGGGAAGATATTGGGGATGAGTGGGGGTCTTCCCCATCACGTACCATGCCAAGATGTGACATAATTTCGTCCCATACGGATTACCGTATCCGCTTTGATAAAAAAAAGATTCCGTGACTTCCGTGTTGCGCGTGCGTTACGTGCTCTTTTCTATTACACCACACTATACACGCTGCATGGTGTTCTGAGAAACGGGAACAATTTTTGAATAAAATATGCTCGTATTGTGGAGAAATAGATCACATACAGTGGAAATAAGAGGATCACAATGCAAATTAAGTACATTGTAACTGTATGGCTTTTTATTATCCTCGACAACCCCTCGGTTTTGGTACACACTCCAAGAGTTTTGTGTTAAGCATTTAAACACA